AAACATTCTCTTGTCTTCATATCTTTTGATGAGATAAAAGAGTAAACCTTCCAGAAGTAACATAACTTTTCTGTTCTACTCTGTAGGATGCCCATGAGTTTTTGAATTTCTTACTGAATGAAATTGTTGATATTCTGGAAAAAGAGTCTAGTTCTGCAAAGGATTCTCCTGGGACCACATCTCCTGAAAAGGTCTCAAATGGGTCAGCTGTTGATGGAGTTAGAAAAGAACCACTGGTTACATGGGTACATAAGAATTTTCAGGTAACTCTTACAAGGAATTGAACCTAACTCAATTAGAAAAAGGTAGCTTCAAACTGACTAGCCAGGTTTGAGTTGAATCTGGTGCCATTCTTCTTTACTATAAAAGATGCCAAGTTTCACCCATACACTCACTTTTTGTTATAAAGATTTCATGCACAGTTACCCTTTACCGTTGCAGGGTACTTTGACAAATGAAACCAGATGCTTAATGTGTGAGACAATCACCGCAAAGGATGAGACATTTTTTGACTTGAGCGTTGACATTGAACAGAATAGTTCACTCACAAGCTGCCTGAAGAATTTCTTTTCTACCGAGACTTTAAATGCGGATGACAAGTTCTTCTGTGACAAGTGCTGCAGGTGACAAAACTAGATGCCATTTTGGTCTCCTAATGGTTTTGTCTCTTTGTTGTGAACTTGTGATAATATGTAATCTCTGGTTCATTGGCATGTCAATATTTTCAATCCTTGTTCTGTTCATTAATAGGGTGTTTGGTTTGAGGAATGGGTTAGTCCATCATCTTCTTGCTCCCCCCTTTTTTGTTTGGTTTATGGAATGAAATGGGTTGATGCATCATCATGTCATTCCTCATAAACTAATAATTAGTACTAGTGTGAGGAATGAAGTCATTCCACCAAATTTGAGGAATGGACTCATGATGCACCACCTCATCTAGAATGGTTTGATTCCTCAAGCCAAACACACCCAGTTTATCAAGTACTTAAATCCAGATAATTATAGAACAAATCTGACATCCAAGCAACTACTCCCTTAGAAGGGAAGTATTACAGGCCAATCCCTTCTAATATGGCAATTTCTGCTATTCTACATTTTTCCCCTGCACTTTTTCTACAATATTGAGAAATTTGTTCTGTCGAGATCACAACAGAATATATGTAATGGTCACATTGGAATACAAGTGATTCTAAGTTTGTGCATCCATTTTTCATTGGGAATCTGAATGTCTAGTTTCAACTGGGATGCTAACCTTGCACTTATAAGTGAGGTGAAAATATGCATCGAGAATCACCATATGTGTAGGAACTACTTAGCTTGATTTCCCTGTGCCATGTACTGAACTCGAAATTTTGGTTTCTCATCATGCAGTTTGCAAGAAGCAGAGAAGAGAATGAAGATAAAAAAGGTGCCACAAACATTGGTGATCCACCTAAAGCGCTTCAAGTTCATCGAGCAGCTTAACCGGAACAAGAAGCTGTCGTACCGAGTGGTGTACCCCTTGGAGCTTAAGCTCAGCAGCAGCTCCAGTGATGCCGTTGCTGACTGTGAGTACTCCCTCTTTGCCGTGGTGGTCCACCTGGGTAGCGGCCCCAACCAGGGGCACTACGTAGCCAAGATCAAGAGCCATGACCATTGGCTGTCCTTCGATGATGACAATGTCGAGATGATCCCGGAGTCCACCCTACAGACGTTCTATGGCTCTTCTCGTGAATATTCGGGCAACACGGATCATGGCTACATCCTGTTCTACGAGCGCATTGGTGGGAATGGAGATGAGAAGACCGTTTCTTCCGATGGAGTGTGACCGTGGTCCGTGGACATGAGATCCTGGGTGGTTTGATGTACATGCAATTTGCTTTCGGAGTTTCCTTATGCTTAGGTTGGATAGGGTAGATTTACATTTTCAACAAAAAAGGTTTTTTTTTTTTTGGCGGAAGAACGTGGGGGAAAACATAAAAGTTTAGTTTGTTGTTAGATGCAGTTCCTTGTAAAGGATTAGTCGGCAGGTCAGTATATCATTTTATTTTGTTTTCATGATTTTAGCTTGACAATAGGACCGCATTTCCTCACATTGTGCCTTAGTTTTATGTGAAAAAATAATCTGCAATCGAGGTCCAGCACCGTACGTCGGTTTGTCTCCTTGACATGCGACTTTTACACCAAACTGCAACCAGTCGCCGTCAAACCTCCGTTCACCCGTCTGGGCTTTATTGCCAAATTCGGCGCGATGAATGAGGCAACACAGAGAAGATAGTAGGATCAAGAGCATAACATAGAGTTTTATAACTTCTCAAAAAGTATAAGAAGGAATAAAGAAGGCCATGTCTAAGAATTTCTAATAATCTACTACTAAAATATAGAAGACAATTTTACATCGGAAATCATATACTATTTTTAAATTGTACTAACCATTTTTATATATTCTTTCTCTCTTGTACATACTCTTTATTCTTTTCATGCCCTTCCACCTTTAGATTGGCCGATAAACACAGGAAGAGAAGATACGCGCGACTTGGAAGTACGTAACTTTACGCGGAACAGGGTGACTTTTCCTAAGTTCTAAAATATTAGGACGATGGATTATGAGTTGTTGGAGAGTGGTTTTTTCATCTTGCTAAAAAATAAGGATTAGAAAGAGATTTATGGAACTCTTGGAGATGCTTAGGACCTGTCCAGCCACTTTATGGATCCCTTCTCCCTAAAGGCAACATCTTCCCTACTCCCCTCCTTGTCGCACGCCTGACGACTTCTCTCGTGCATCGTAGCGCCCTTCCCTGTCCCATTCTAGCACTCTCGGCCTTTGGCAACGATGCTCACCAAGCCGGCAAGCCCTTGTCCATGTCGCATCGATAGACACCATGGGTGAGGGCCCCATAGATGAGGCTCTACCCTTCATCTACAAAGAAACAAATAGTAGTCAATCTCCAACAACCGATCACCACAATTCAATTACTTTAACAATGACCATTTATATCATTACCTACACCAGCCGAACTAGCCAACCCTTAAGGTTTAGACACGACCACTATGTCTTTCTCGTAACAACGACAGTGACGGAGAGAGAAACACCCTATGTGCTTCTCTGGTATGCAAGTTGTTATGGAAGTATTTTGCAGGAAACCAAGCCAATGAGGCAATGAAAGCTAGGATCCTTGACTAAGTCTATCCTACCAAATGTTTAGCATGAGAGTAAACAATGGTCGGTCGGCCAAACTTATCTGCCTAAGGGTTGGATTTACCCTAATACGTGCTAATTGAGAGAATGTGGCCATGAACTATCTTCAGCATTCAGTGCTAGGGACCAACTCTTTCTGTTATTTTCCTATTGCTTCGTGGACCTAACGAGTCATGAATATTGTACTCCCTCCATTATAAGATACAAGTATTGAATGTTTAAAATCTATCCTAAATTATAAGATATAATCTGGACTACTTAGAGCATCTCCAAAAACTTTTCTAAATCTCACTCTCTAAATCATTATTTGGAGAGTCATTTGCATAAAAATCGTTTTCTATATTTTTTCACTCTCCAACCATTTTTCTATAACTCATGCGCACTCTAGAGAGCCATTATCGTCTTCTATTTTTGGCTAGCGAAAAATTCAAAATAGAAGATAGCTATATTTGGATGACTATTTAGAGAAGCTGTTGGAGGGTAGTTTTTTTTTTATCAAAATCTCTATTCGTAGCATTTAGAAAGGATACGGAGAGTCTCCTGTAGATGCTCTTAACTCTATTTTTATTCATGCTTGCTTTTTAGACCTTATCCATGCGTGCCTTTTAAATACCATCTTGCGCAAATGACTTATAATTTGTAGCCGAAATCAATAACATGCACTCGTGTCTTCTTAACCTATGTGTTCAGGGGCGACGGGAGGGATATTCCTAGGTATTCATCGAAATACCCATGACTTTGGTAAATAAAATAAACAAATACACATGCTAAGTGTTAGCATATTTGCCTTGTATCATGGAAGAAAACTACAAAGACAAAGAAAATAGCTTGCACATCCACACTAAATCCTCCTCCTTCCTTAGACTTATGATCCTATGCATTATTGCACAATTTATTCACATGGAATACCCTGGTGTAACATCCTGGCTCTGCACTGTATGTGTTGCTAGGAGATTAAGCAATTTGACAACCAAACTCCTTATATATCTATATCTATATCTATATCTATATCTATATCTATCTAATATTAAAGAGTGAAAAGATTCTTTCATCCGTCTTTTTTTACTTCCCACAATGCTTTCACTCTTCCCTGTCCTCTATGATCAGGACTTACGGCATGTGCTCATAAGAGTTAGAACAACGTGAGTCAAAGTGATGATATGAAGTACACTTTTAAGATACGTCAAGTGATGGTGTAAAGTGTTGCGACCCACATACATATAAGTTTAGTTCTAAGAGGACGACGAGAGTACAACTAGTATCTGAGTATTTATTTATATCTGTGTTCAAAATAGTTTAAAAATCTTTTCCAAATTTTCTACTCTCTCTATCCAGTAAAGTTACGGGATCCATGCTGGTTAAAGTAGTTCAAATTAGATCAAATTTATAGTAAATAGTATTAATATTTATATCTTTAAATAAATTTATTATAAAAATATATTTTATGACTAATCTAATAATACTAATTTTGTATTAGAAATGTTAATATTTTTTTTTATATAATTTGGGTCAAAGTTTGAAGGAGGGAGTACAGACAGCCCTTTGCGCGCGAGCCAATTCCTTCGATCCAGCCGAGCCCATTGCCCCCAGCCGCGCAAACGTGGGAGCGACTTGCCGGCGGCGTGCTCGTCCAGTCTCTGTCCTGGTTCCCTGTCCCCTAGATCAAATCAAATCAAGACCAGAAACACGGGATTTTTTTGGCGAGTAAAGCGCGCTCGCCTGCTCGGTCAAGGAAAGGAAAAGTTCCCGAAACAGGGACAGCGGGCGCCGGGCGCATTTTGATTGCTTGGATCGGGAACCGAGCGAGCGCGCCGGAGGCCGGATGGGCTCCTCGTCCACTCCGGCGGCCGCGGCAGCGGCCGCGCCGAGCCGGCGCAAGGTGGCGCTCTACCTGGCGCTCCTCACCCTGCAGTACGGCGCCCAGCCCCTCATCTCCAAGCGCTTTGTCCGGTAAACCCATCCCTCGCACGCGCCAGCCAGAGCGCCTTCCCTAGTTGATTTTGCTTGCAGCAGTAGACGGCTTTTCTACCCTAGAACGCTCATACTCGGAATTTTTTTCCCCGGACCATTTGATTTCCTTTCAGTAAGGCATGTACAATTTTTGAATCGGAACAGCGAATTCTAGTTGCTCCCTTGTAGACATCCACATTGTGGAGGCGTGGGAGCCTATGCAGTAGCATTTCAGCTATTCACGGGAAATTGGGATACATTGATCTGACACGAAAGCTTTTGGCTGCCTCCATAATCTGAGACCTGGGAGCTTCAGGATGGTTAATACAGCACACATCGTTCTCCTTCTGAAAAAATGACGTCCTACATGTGGGAGATTACCGCCCATTAGCCTTACGCGCAGCATTGCAAAAATCTTCTCCAAACTTCTTGCAAACAGATTGGCACCACACCTCCGTGGCATTGTGTCAAACTGCCAAAGTGCCTTCATAAAAAAGCATCGCATCCAAGACATTTTGGTATTTGTCCAGAACACAATCTGTTGCCTACACACACGTAAAACACCTGCCCTCTTCCTAAAGCTAGACATCTCTAAGACCTTTGACTCAGTTTACTGGGGTTATCTCCTTGAGCTTCTCCAAAGGCTCAGGTTTGGCCTAAAATGGCGGCAGTGGATCTCTATCTTTTTCGGAAAAGCAACCTCAGGGGATCTCCTCAACGGCATCCCCAGTGAACGCTTTACACATGGCAAGGGAATTCGACAAGGTAGGCCCCTCTCATCGATGCTCTTTATCCTAGCGGTTGATCCGCTTCACCACTTGATTGAGCTAGCTTCAGAACAAGTTATGCCGACTCCCATTGGCTCACAAGAGCTCAATCTTCACATTTCCCTATACGCAGACGATGCAGCTATTTTCATCAACCCAGTCTGCCAGAATTGGACACCATTCGCCACATCCTCGACACTTTTGGACAGGCTTCTGGGCTGCAAAAAAAGTTCCATCCTCCCAATTAGCTGCGAGGGGGTCGACATCGACCAAATCATTTTACGCTTTCCAGGGCAGCTCTTGTCTTTCCCTTGTCGTTATCTCGGCCTAAGAAAACTCACCAAAGCACATCTTCAGCCTATCATTGACAAAACCGGGGCAAGACTACCTAGCTTGAAAGGCCGGCTGACTTTGATCAACTCAGTTCTCTCATCAATTCCAAGATACACGCTCATGGTTTTTCTCCTCTCCAAATGGGCCAAAAAGCAGCTTGGAAACGCTGCATGCACCCCTCAATTTGGGCGAACTTAGCATCTTGGACCTTGAAAAATTCAGCCGCGCACTTCGCCTACAGTGGCTTTGGTTAGACTGGACTGAAGAGTCCAAACCATGGGCAAGCTCTGAACTTCCTTCCGACGACACTGACCTTCTGCTTTTTGAAGCCTGCCACCATTTCAATTGGAGACGACAACAAGGCCTGGGTTGGCAAGACAAGTGGATCGACCGAAGTGCACCCAAATACATAGCACCATCCTTGTTCAAGCTGATTAGGCGCAAGAACAACTCTGTCGCCATTGTACTCTCAAGTTTGAGGTGGATTCACATTCTCCGCCGCAAAATTTCTATGGTGGTCCATGTCGCCGAATTTGATGATCTTTGGTCACAAGTCCAGCAGGTTGAGCTCCTGCCAAACAACCTCGAGACCATCGGCTGGAGATGGAAAAGAGGTGGCTCCTACACCTCAAAATCAGCCTACCTTTCACAATTCAAGGGTTCCTTCTCGCCGTTTGAGTGTTTGATCCCAACCTTGTGTGGAAGGCCAAGACCACCAAAATAAAATTCTCACAGCAGACAACCTTGCAAATAGGGGCTGGCCACACCAGCCCACAAGTTCTGTATGCCACACCGATCCAGAAAGGCATTGCACCTTTGCCTTATCTGCCCCTTCTCAAACTTTGTTTGGGTGTGAGTACTCTCCATTCTTACATGGACCTCCCACAGAACGTCGCGTCAGATGACTTCGCAAACCGTCGTGTGAAGCGGTTGGTGGCATGAAACCTCCAAAGCCATGCCAAAACTTTCACGTCATCAGCTCAATGGGGTCATAATCTACATCATGTGGAACATTTGGAAAGAGAGAAACGGACGCATCTTTGAACATTCATCACTCAATGCGGATGTAGTGGCATTCCACACCATGGAGGACATTAACTAACGTAGAAGCGCCCTTTTTGTAGCACCTTAAGAATCCCTATTGCACGTTTCCGTTTTTCTTCCTTTTCTCAGCATCAGGTCCTGGATGTTTATCCGCACCTCTCGCCTGAATGTTTATCAGGTTTGCAACAGTGGCGTATACCTTTTCTTTGCTCCCTTTTAATTGATTAGGAATTGATTAAGCAGAGCTCCTGCCTCGTTCCGCAAGAAGAAGAAGAAGATTTGATCGATGTTTATTCTAGTTAGGATATTATACTGTTCTAGTCAGTTGAGACTTGATATTTGCTTGATAAATTGGATAGGGTAATAAATTTTCTTGTTTAAGATCAAGCAGATAGGTTCCTCTATGTGACAATGGTATAGATGAACTGGATGGACCATGGTATAGATGAATCAGATGGACATAGCTCCCTTTCTTTGGTAATACCTTAACCAACCCATGAAAAGTGCATGAGTTCGTACCAAAATTTTCAGCAATGCACATTCATGGCTTTGAGATTCAAGGTTTTCTGTTTTTTTGTGAAATTGCATTCTTTGCACAGCTATTTATTATGAAAGGGAACCAAGTACCATTTTAAATGTACTGAACCCTTTGTTGTTTCTACAACTGCAGCCAAGATACTATAGTGACCTCACTAGTTCTTGCAACGGAAGCAGCAAAGGTCTGGTACTAGTTTTTATTATGATCAATATGACATGTTTTTCACTTGGGTGCTTCTGATTTCCTTTTCATCTGTATAGGTTATTTGTGCAATCATTTTATTGATTGCAGAGGGTAGTCTGAAAAAACAGTTCAGTAACTGGACTCTCACTGGATCACTAACTGCGTCTGGACTGCCTGCTGCCATCTATGCCCTTCAGAATAGTCTGCTGCAAGTATCATACAAGAATCTGGATTCCTTGACCTTTTCAATCCTTAACCAGACTAAGCTTTTGTGGACAGCATTTTTCACATTTCTTATTTTGGGGTATGTTCCTTTTTGCATTTCAATTTCTTAAAAATACTCAGGTTGAAGATCATTTGAAGAAATAACTACCAGAATATGTATGCAAGTAATATAGTTGGAACTTCCTTAGTATTTGATAGAGAAAGGCCAAGAGGCTTAGATTGCTTGATGATGAGATTACAAGAGGGTTACATATATAGAGAGAGGCTAAGCTAGAGAGTTAATACTAGAGAGTTAAGAGGGGAGAAGTCCCAGGCAATCAAGCTGGGAGTACCTAGGCAGTGCACTAGGGAGAACCCCAGGAGACAGCCGATACAAAGTAAAAGCTAGAGGAAATAAATACTCTAACACCCCCCCGCAGTCGGAACGTCGTTAGAACGAACGTTCAGACTGGAGCGAAAGTCCATAAATACAGAAGAAGGAATGCCCTTGGTGAAGACATCGGCGAACTGCGACGTGGTGGGAACGTGAAGCACACGGACAGCCCCAAGAGCGACCCGTTCTCGGACGAAGTGAAGGTCGATTTCCACGTGCTTGGTACGCTGATGCTGAACGGGGTTGGTGGAGAGGTAGACGGCACCGACGTTGTCGCGATGAGACGAGGCGGCGAAATCCGGGGTGGTGCAGCTCCTGCGAGAGTTGCCGCAGCCAGGAGGCTTCGGCGACGCCGTTGGCAACTGCACGGTATTCGGCCTCGGCGCTCGACCGTGAAACGGTGGGCTGGCGCTTGGACGACCAGGAGATGAGGCTGCCACCGAGGAAGACAGCATAGCCAGAAGTGGAACGGCGGGTGTCGTAGGCGGCCGCCCGATCGACATCGGTGTAGACAATGAGTGAGTTGGTGCAGAGCGGGAATGACAAGACCAAAACCGATAGTGCCTCAGAGGTAGCGAAGAATCCGCTTAGCGAGCAACAAGATGAACTTCCTGAGGATCATGCATGTGCAAGCAGACTTTGTTGAACGCGGCGTATGCAATGTCGGGCCGAGTGAAAGTTAGGTCTTGAAGAGCACCCCCACAAGGGCTGCGATAGGCGGTATGATCGACAACGAGAGGGGGCCGGCATCGCCAGACACTTTGGCACAAGTGTCAGCAGAGTGGAACAAGGCTTGCAGTCGGTCATGCCGTGGCAGGCAAGAATGTCCAGAGTGTACTGACGCTGGGAGAGAAAGAGTGTCCTTCTGTCGCTGAACAGCTACGCCAAGGAAATGATGAAGAGGACCAAAATCCTTCATGGCAAATTCCTTCTTCAGTGCATCAATGACCTGGTGTAAGAGTGGCTGAGAGGAGGCTGTAACAACAATGTCATCCACATATAGGAGCAAGTAGACTGTCTCAGTGCCGCGGTGATGAATGAAGAGGGAGGTGTCGGACTTGGCTTCAGTGAAACCCAAAGATAGCAGATAAGAAGCAAACCGGCTGTACCATGCTCGCGGTGCCTGCTTCAAACCGTAGAGGGACTTGTTGAGCCTACAGACGTGTTCAGGAAGATCCGGATCAGCAAAACCGGTGGGCTGAGAGTAGTATACCGTTTCTGACAATGTCCCGTGAAGGAAGGCATTCTTCACATCAAGCTGATGGATCGGCCAGTCCCGAGAGTGAGCCAGAGTGAGGACGGTGCGAACGGTAGCGGGTTTGACGACGGGACTGAAAGTCTCATCGTAATCAACTCCGGGCCGCTGTGTGAACCCACGTAGCACCCAACGAGCCTTGTATCTGTCCAGTGAGCCATCAACATGAAACTTGTGTTTGGATATCCATTTTCCAGTGACCACATTTGCCTTGGCAGGCCGAGGAACAAGATCCCAAGTGTGGTTGTCCAAGAGTGTAGCGAATTCTTCTTCCATGGCCTTACGCCAGTGCGGATTAGCAATAGCGTCATGGCAGGACCGCGGAAGTGGGGACAGAGCCTCGGTGTGTAGAGCAAGACGAGGCTGCTTGTATCCGGACTTCCCGCGAGTCGCCATGCCATGAGAGTTGGCAAGTGGCGGGATGGAGACTGTTAGTCGTTGAACTCTCACTCTCGGTAGTAGCAGAATTCTTACTCTCATCGAGAGAGGATGACACTAGGAGTTGGGGCAATTTTCTGGTTTATTTCTCACACAAACTCACACAAATGCCATGCCAACCTGAGGGGTTGGGGTTACATATTTATAGGCTGCTAGCCAGCCAAGCATATGTCAGGATGCTAGTCTAAGATGCTAGTCTAAGATGCTAATATGCTGTCCTAGCTAAGATGCTGTCCTCTAGTCTAAGATGCTGTCCTCTAAGATGTTGTCCTCTAGTCTAAGATGCTGTCCTAAAAACAGAAAAACAGCCACAAGAATCATGTGAGCAGCACAGCCCCACAAAGACCAGTCACACATGAGACTTATCCATCATTCTCCCCCTAAGTCTTGTGCGTCGTCTTGTGGGAGAGTTGAACCATCCTGGTCTTGGAGCAGAGCTCAAGGAACTTGATCCTCCCAAGGGGCTTGGTGAGCAGGTCCGCAAGCTGGTCCTTGGTGTTGATGTAGCTCGCCTTGATGCTCCCTTCCTCCAAACAAAGATCGGATGAAGTGGTACCTCACCCGGATGTGCTTATCGCGTTAAGTGGAACACGGGGTTCTTTGCCGGGGCAGGCGGACTTGTTGTCCACCACGAGCTCCATCGCTCTAGTGTCTCTGCCGAGGAGATCACCAAGCGGTCAGGCGAGCCAGGCGCTGAGTCGAAGCGGTGGAGGCCGCTATGTACTCGGCCTCCCAGTGGACAGGGCCACCACTGCTTTGCTTGATCGATCGCCGCCTAACAAGGCACTTGCCGAGGAAGAAGAGGATCCCGCCGTGTGCTCTTGCTTTGGTGTCGATGTCGCCGGGCGTGGTCGCCGTCATTGTATGAAGACGAAGTGTGCCGCCCCAGGGCACCTAGGGTAGTAGAGGCCGTGGTCGAGAGTCCCCGCAACGTAGCGGATGATCCTCTTCACAGCCTGCTGGTGCTCCGTTGTCGGTCGCTGCATGAACCGACTAACGTAGCCGACGGAGAATGCCAGGTCCGGCCGTGTGTGGGCGAGGTAGCGAAGGCTCCCCACAAGACGCCGGTACTGCGTAGCGTCCACCTCCTCCGCCGTGCTGTCGCGGCTCAGCTTCAGCCTCTCCTCCATCGGAGTGAGAGCTGGGTTGCAGTCGGTGAGCCCAGCTAGCTCAACGACGCGCTTGGCGTAGGCGGTCTGTCGAAGCGTGATCCCGGAGTCATCCTGGTGCACCTCGATCCCCAGGTAGAAGGAGAGAGGTCCCAGGTCACTCATCTGGAAGGTGGCCTTCATCTCTTCCTTGAATGCCGCCACCTCCGCATCCTTGGTGCCGGTGATCACCAAGTCGTCGACGTAGACACCCACCAGCAGAGCATTTCCTCCACTGCCCCGTCGGTAGATGGCCGCCTCGTGCGGGCTTTGCTCGAAGCCCATCCCCTTTAGCGTGGAATCCAGCTTGGCATTCCACGCCCTCGGTGCCTGCCGCAAGCCATAGAGGGCCTTGCGCAGGCGGAGCACCTTGCCCTCCTTGCCGGGGATCGCAAATCCCGGCGGCTGGTGCACGTAGACCTCCTCCTTCAAGTCGCCGTTAAGGAACGCCGACTTGACGTCCATGTGATGAACACGCCAGCCCTCCTGGGCAGCTAGCGCAAGGAGGAGTCGCACGGACTCCATCCGTGCCACGGGAGCAAAGGCGTCGTCGAAGTCGACCCCCTCCTGCTGCACGAAGCCTCGTGCCACCAAGCGAGCCTTGTGCTTGACGATGGCACCGGCTTCATCCCTCTTCAGCTTGTACACCCACTTAAGGGTGATCGCGCGGTGACCACGAGGAAGGTCAGCAAGCTCCCAGGTGCGGTTCTTCTCAACCGCATCCATCTCCAACTGCATCGCGGCGCGCCATGCCGCGTGTCTCTCGACTCTCGCAAACGACCGAGGTTCGCCGTCGTCACACGCAAGGTGCAAGCTGCGCCTCCAGTTGTGAGGCACCGGTCCGGCACCGGCTGGTCGCCGAGAAGGTTCTCCAGCGTACGGTACCGCAACGGCTCGCCGTCGTGGTACGCGTCGACGCGCTCCTCGTCGTGAGAGAGCGGAGTAGCGAGCTCAACCGGGCCGTGCTCGACACGAGCTGGTGGTGGGGTAGATGTGCCCGGAGTGGTGCTTGTCGGTGCTGGAGTGCGTGGCGTTGCCGGCTGTGGTGGAGCCGGCGAAGAACTCATCGCAGCCGAGGTCCTGGCTGGAGAGCGTGGTCTTTGCCGAATGGCGCGCCGGGGTCGGTGGAGGCTCGGGACTGGGGGTAGACACGCCGCCAAGAAGAGCCGCCTACTCCCCTCCTCTCGGTGGGCGTACTCGACGGTGAAGTCGTCGTCTCGTCGGAGCCGAGCCGTCATCCACCGCTTTGTCCCCACGCCCATCCTCGCCCTTTTCGTCCGAACACAACGTCGCGCGCCGTGCGCACACGCCGTGTCTTGGTCGAGTATCGGTAGGCCTTGAGCCCTCCGCGTAGCCGATGAACACTCCCGGTGCTCTCGCCGCCGAGCTTGTTGATGTGGCCAAGCTCCTTGGCGAACGCGAGGCAGCCGAAGACCCGCAAGTGGGAGACCGCCGGCTTGCGCCCATGCCAAGCCTCGTACGGCGTCCTGCCGTCGAGCGCCTTGGTAGGCGAGCGGTTGAGGATGTAGACGGCCGTCACCACCGCCTCTCCCCAGAAGACAGCCGGCATCCCCCTCTGCTTGAGGAGGGCCCGAGCCATCCCCACAACCGTCTGGTTGCGCCGCTCGACGACGCCGTTCTGCTGCGGGCTGTACGGCGCGGAGTAGTGGCGCTGAATGCCCTCGTCAGCGCAGTACGACGCGAATTCAGCCGCCGTGAATTCGCCGCCCGTTGTTGTCGGTCTGCAGAAGACGCTGCGTAACTTGCGGCCGCACTCGCCTCCGCGGCGCTGCTGCATAGCGCTGATGGCGTCCCACCTCTCTCCCTTGCGGCCGAGGACCATCACCCACATGTAGCGGGAGAGGTCGTGACGAGCAGCAGGAAGTAGCGTCGTCC